GCAGCAGCGACAGCAGCAGCTGCTGCTGCTGCTCAAGCCAGAAGAGCAGCAGCAGCAGCAAGACGCCCTCATTGCAAGCACTTGCCGCAAGCTGGACACTACAATTAGAAGCAGCAGCAGCAACGTTCGCTGCAGCAGCAGCGGCAGCAGCAGCAGCAGCAGGAAAAGCGGCAGCGCGTCAGCAGCAACATGTGAAGGTGGCTTTGCCTCCAGCAAGCTCGGTCAGGCCGAGTCTGCTGCTGCTGCTCCTGCTGCTGCTGCTGCTCCTGTTGCTGCTGCTGCTGCTGCCGCTCGACTGCGCAGCAGCAGCTGCAGCAGCCCTGTTGTGTCTCCGCTGACGCTTCCGGCAAGTGTCGAAGCCTTCTCCGGAAGCAGCAGCAGCAAAGCAACAGCTAGGCAAACGCCTCGCAGCCCACGCTCAGCAGCAGAAGCAGCAGCAGGAGCAGCAACTGCAGCAGCAGCAGCAAAACGGCTGTCTGCCCAAAAGGCTCTGTGCGTCAAGGGCCGTTGCGGCCGCTGCGGAGGCCTCTCCCTAGATGCAGCGCAGCAGCAGCAGCAGCAGCAGCAGCAACAGCAGCAGCAAGAGGTGAAGACTGCAAGATGGCCTTCAGGAGGCCCTGCCCTAGAGAAACAGCATGCATGCACTAGTGGCAGGAGCAGCAGCAACAGCAGCAGCAGCAGCAGCAGCAGCAGCAGTGATAGTGGCAAAGCTACTGAACGGATACCGGCGCTTTGTCGCCCTCAGCAGCAGCAGCAGCAGCAGCAGCGGCTGGAGCAGTTCGTCCAAGAGCATCAGCTGCTGCTGCAACAGCAGCGAGGCCTTGGAGATCGTGAAATTGAGCAGCAGCAGCGGCTGCAGCAGCTGCAGCAGCAGCTTCACCAGCAGCAAGAAAGGACAGTGACCCTTACCTCTTCTTTATGCGAATCAGAGGCGCAGCAGCTACAGGAACTGCAGCAGCAGCAGCAAAAGCTGCTGCAGCTGCAGCAGCAGCTGCACCAGTCGACCTCTACAGATCGTCTCAGCAGCGCTGACAAGGCTGCAGCAGCAGCAGTTCCTCCTCTGCAGCTGCAGCAGCAGCTGCAGCAGCAGCTGCATCCCAACATGCAACAGATGCAGCAGCAGGTCCAGCAGCAACTGCAAACGAATGAACGGCAGCAGCTGCAGCAGCAGCAGCTACAGAAGCAACAGCAGCAGCAACGAGCCGTTCTTCTTAAACAGCTTGCTGCAGCAGAGCCAATGCAGCCCTCGCAGCTCCCCGCTCCCCCCGGCATGGGCAACAGCAGCAACAGCTGCAGCAGCTTCAGCAGCAGCTGCAGCAGCAGTAGCTGCAGCAGCAGCCGGCAGCAAAGTGCTGCGTCTCTTGAAGCAGCAGCTTTTGAAGCCGGTGCAGCCCGTGGTGCTTCTGCAGCGGGAAGGAGTTTCCATCAGCTGCAGCTTCAGCAGCAGCAGCAGCTGCAGCAGCAGCAGCAGCAGCGGCCACTTAAACTCGGTGAAGCGCAGCGCCTTCGCTTGATGCAGCAGCAACCGCTACCAGAACTCAGCCACTTCGAAAGGCAACAAACTCAGCCGCAGCAGCAGCAGCAGCAGCGGCAGCAGCAGCAGCAGACGGCAACCCTCGTGAGGAGACAGCGCAGCTTCTCTTCTCGCGAAGCATCTATTTCGCGGTATATCTCAATGGAGGCTTCGGAGCAGCAGCAGCAGCAGCAGAAGCAAGGGCTGCTGCAGCAGAGCAGCAAGCAACTCCAGACACGGGAGCAGATTAGGCAGCTGCTGCAGCAGCAGCAGCTCCAAGTGCTGCAGCACCAAGCGGCTGCACAGCAGCTACCCAGTATCCCTCAACAGATCTCCGTGCAGCAGCAGCAGCAGCCAACACTGCAACAGAAAGTACAGAAGCAGCAGCAGCAACTGTTGCTGGGGAGGACGCAGCTGCTTGCCAGGGCGCAGCAGCCAACCCAGCAGTGGGGCTCGCTGAGGGAGCAGCAACTGTTGCAGCAGCAGCATCAGGCGCAGCAGCAGCAGGCGCAGCAGCAGCAAATGCTGGAGAGCAGCTGGGCAGCTGCTGCACCCAGCACGCCCCAAGACACCCGCTACGGCTGCTTCCCGTTGCAGCAGCAGCAGCAGCCTGCTTTGCTGCAGACCATGAGGCAGCAGCAGCAGCACCCTCAGTATATGCAGCAGCAGCAGCAGCAACTGGGTCGCCACTACACGCAAACAGTGCACCTGCAGCAACAGCTCCCGCCGCCGCAGCAGCAGCAGCTAGGGCACCACTACATGCAGTCACTTAACCAGCAGCAGCAGCAGCAGCAGTTGCTGCAGCAGCAGCAGCAGCACTGCACGCCTGTACAGCCTCGCCATTACCTCTCGCCACTTCAACAGCAACCTTGGGCAAGGCAGCAGCAGCAGCAGCCGTTCCTGCAGCAGCAGCAGCAGCTACTGCTGCAGCAGCAGCAGCCCCGGGTCCTGCACAGCAGGTCACTTGTTTTAGAGGAGAGGCAGCCAGTGCGGAAGACTTTATCTCTTGTAACTGACTGCTACAGGCCTGCTTCTGGTGAAGCAGCAGCTGCTACAGCAGCAGCAACAGAAATGAACAACTGTGGATACTGGCAGCAGCAACTGCAGCAGCAGGAAGGGCACATGCTGCAGCAGCAGCAGCCAACAGCAGCACACAACTATCCCCCGGGACGAGGCACCCCGCTTATTCCGTCCTTGCCACAGCAGCTGCAGCAGCAGCAGGAGCTGCAGCAGCAACTGCTGCTGCAGCAACAGCAGCACGCGCAGCAGCAGCAGCTGCTCACGCAAACGCTTAGGCCGCAGCTGCAGCAGCACGCCGCTCCCTACTATCGGCAGCAGCAGCAGCAGCAGCCACAAGCGGCAACAGCAGCGCCTCACTTTGTAGTAAACTAAACGTTCCACGTTTTCGCTGCACTTATTTACAAGCAGCAAGAGCTGCTGCAGCAGCAGCAGCAGCAGCGAGCAGACAGTCTTCTTCAGCAGCAGCACGCAGCTGCTGCAACACCAGCAGCTAGCTGCTGCCTTTGCAGCAGCAGCTAGGTGTAGTGTCATAAACGAACCGTACAGCTGCTGTGCTGCTGCTCCTGCCGCAGCAGCAGCAGCAGCTGCACTGGCAGCGGTGGCTGCTGCAGCCGCAGCAGCAGCAACCACGTGCTGCTGCTGCCGCAACAAAGTAATCCCTAAATCATCAGCGACAAACCGCATCTCGTATATGAGCCGCAGCTCCACCGACACACCTTGCTGCAGCAGCGGCAGCAGCAGCAGCAATTGCTGCATCAACAGCAGCAATCGCTGCAGCGACTGCAGCAGGAGAAGTAAAAGCTGCTGCTGCATGCAATAGATGTTGCTGCTGGAATATCAGGTAACGACAGAAGTAACAACTAATGCGGCTGCAGCCGCTGCTGCTGCAGCCATTGCTGCTGCAGCCATTGCTGCTGCAGCCATTGCTGCTGCAGCCATTGCTGCTGCAGCCATTGCTGCTGCAGCCATTGCTGCTGCAGCCATTGCTGCTGCAGCCATTGCTGCTGCAGCCATTGCTGCTGCAGCCGTTGCTGCTGCAGCCATTGCTGCTGCAGCCGTTGCTGCTGCAGCCATTGCTGCTGCAGCCGTTGCTGCTGCAGCATGCTGCAGCCATTGCTGCAGCAGCAGCAGCCTGCTTGTTTGTGAGCTGGCTCCGCCCGAAGCTGCAGCAACCCAGCATTCATCACCGCAGGCGCAGCAGCAGCAAAACATGCAGCTAGCAGCAGCAGCTAGTTGCAGCAGCTAGCTAGCTGCAGCAGCTAGCTAGTTGCAGCAGCTAGCTAGCTGCAGCAGCTAGCTAGCTGCACAATAGA